TACTCTACGTGTAGATAAAAGAGTGCACTTTAATTTAATATAAGTTTCATTCAAATCCATTTGCTAAAAGTATAAAAAATATTTGCCGAAACTTTTTAAAGAAATGGCAAAGTAGGAAAAATTTTGCAGCATCGCATTCTTTGGCATTTTATGAACCTTTGCAGATTGTTTTATATCGCGAAAAGATACTCTACGTGTAGACAAAAGAATGTACTTTAATTTAATATAAAAATTAATAAAATTCATTTGCAAAAAGTATAAAAAATATGTACCGAAACTTTTCAAAGAAATTGCAAAGTTGCACAATCTACAGCATTGCATTCTCTGACATTTTTTGAAGCTTTGTAAATTGATTTATAACTCTACAAAGTATTCTACGCGTAGATAAAAGAGTATACTTTAATTTAACATAAGTTTTATTAAAATTCATTTGCTAAAAATATAAAAAATATGTACCGAAACTTTTCAAAGAAATTGCAAAGATGCACAACTTACAGCAGTGCATTCTCTGACATTTTCTGCACTTTACATTTGATTTTTATAACTCTACAAAGTATTCTGCGTGTAGAAAAAAGAGTGTACTTTAATTTAACATAAGTTTTATTAATATTTATTCACTTTTAGCATAAAAAATATTTACCAAAACTTTTCAAAGAAATTTCAAAGATGCACAATTTACAGCATTGCACAATCTCTGATATTTCTTTGAAAAGTTTCTGTAAATATTTGGCGGAAAATAATAATAATAATGGCGGATTTCCGGCTATGACGATAACATATATATACATATAATATTACATATATATATATAAATGCAAATCTTTTGCAAGTGCATCGGTGTAACTATACCATCGTAAATTATACTTCTCAGACCTCTAATAGGCGTTTCCTGTGCATCACACCGTAGAAAATGATTCCAAGTACATACAATGTACGCGTATATAAGCCCAACAAAAAGGGTCACGCAAATTTCAAGTGGAACTAACGAAATACTTTTACCCTAAATTAATTGTTTCCTTACCTTTTTTTTTAATTGTCATTGTTAACGTGTTTTAATCCATTTAATTATAATTTCAAACGATCGATCGTTCCTAATTCAAATTTTGTATTTAACAATCTATTATTTCTAATAATTATTGTCAGGTATATATTATTTATTAATTCGCGTAAGAGAATAATTTTTTTCCTTCGTATGTGTGTGTGTTTATAATTCGTTTTAAAAAAAGAAAAGGAAAAATATATTGGCTATTATTTTTATTTACTTTTATTTATCTTTTATTTCTCAAAATTCACGTTACAAACGTTTATCATTCGAGTTTTGTACATAGATTACATCGTAGTGAAATCGTTTTTAGTTATTTATTTTTTCTTTTTATTACTTTTTTTTTTCTTTTTTTTTTTCTGTTATCTGCCACCATATACTTTATACTTTATACCACTAATCGTTTTATCATAACTTCAATCTCTTTGGTTCTTTAGCTTCGATCTTAGCCCGTTATATACGGTCATAATAATTTAATTAGACGATGCATTCTTGATAAAATCATTAACAGATGTTTACGATGTTAATATTAAGCATTATTCATTTAATTACTCTTTTTTTCTTTTTTTTTTTTCAATTTGTTTCTAGAACACATTAATGTATCTTTAAAGATTCAATTCAGTCAACTGGTTAAATGATATATTATTTGTATAAAATTAATTGATTTTGTAATTATGTTAAATATAATACTATAAAATTTAGGATACAATTTTTTCATGTTCATTAAGGTTTGTTTTTTTTTTTTTTAATATAAAGTAACAAGATCGATTAAATTTATATTTGAATAATACGTTTAGTATATTCTTTTATGAGGTAGTAGGTTCGTATACATGAATTCAGTCAGTTTTCGAAGAAAATATTAAACGATATTATTTTTTCGTCTAATATTATTTCTTTCTTATTTATAATCACATTTCTTAAAAACATTAATATTATATTATATTGGAACACGTTTATGATATTTAAAGCTATATTATTGGCAAGATATAACATTAAGTTATAATATATATATTTATGATTTCATTTCTAATGCAATTATTGACATTTAAATTCGTTGCAACTTTTTAATAACTTTTTTTACTTCTATTTTTAATCAATGTTTTATTTTCACTAAACAATTGTTTGATAATTGAAAATATTGACTAGAGGATAATGTAGGAATCTTCTATATCAATATTAATTATAATAAATGATCTCATTATTATTATTAAAACAATTGTGTTATATTATCACGCGTATCGAATGTATATAAAACAAATTGAGAATGGCTAGTTAAATTAACTCTGTTCAGTTATATATATATATATATATATATACATATACATAAATGAAATAAATAAATAAATTATTTTTTCGTCGGATTTTTCGATGCTTTTTTTTTATAAACGGTAACCGTAGGAACATTTTCAACGAAACTTCGTACAACCGAAGCTGGTGAAACGAACCATTTGTTAACTTCGAACAAATTTCCAGATTTGTTATTAGTTGTTGTCGTTGTAGTTGTAGTTGTGGTTGTAGTTGTGGTTGTTACAAAAATAGTAGTACCAGGTTTCCCATTGTTCATTTCTTTTTCATTATCTTGAATGTTACAATTACTTTTCTCTTTGATTTCATTCCTGAGATCACAATTTTTAATATAAATCTTTTCGGTTTCTTTCGTGTCAGAATTCGATGGATCACCACAATTGTCAACTTTTTTCGTTTTCTTCATTAATTTCTTCGTCTTGTCCATTCCAAGATAATTTTTCAAAGTCGCAGACGATGATTCCTTGGTATCTTTTTTATTCACAGTAGAATTAACATCCATCGATTCGGTATCCACAGTTATTTTCCCACCTACGCCAAAATATTGGACATTATCTTTCGACGATTTTGGTCCCAATAAAACACGACCACCATCACCGGTGTATACAATGTCACCTGTATTATTCTTGACCTTGATTAGGCATCCATCACCCACGACACGAACGCTTCCACAATTTTTACTCATGGTTATTTTACAACCATCACCTGTTACCTCGAGTATTCGATTATTGGAATCCATTTGTACGAATAAACCATCACCTTTCAATCTTCTTATCTTTTCTCGATTTTCTTTCATTTTATTACAAAAATGATTTGTATATTTTGTATGATTTATTATAAATCGTATTATTTATAATCTTCACTGGAAGATATCAATGATAATGATATATTTTAATTCAATCGGATTAATTTATCGAACACTAACACACTTCCAATGTATTATATTATTTAATTGAATTAAAACACAAAATGTTTGTAGTTATTTATAATGACTATAATAATAATATTATTATTATTATAATATATTATTTTAATATATATAGAAAAATATACTATCGAAAGTATATATATTCCAAATATTTAATTAGAAAATTTTATTTCACTTTTATTGATGATATATTGATTTTTGATCAATACTGTAATCATCATCATCGTTCTTATATCTTCTATTTGATGACACAAATTTTGATTATTATAGATCATCATTAATCGATCATATATTAAAACTATATATCACTTATATATATATATCACTATGTGTATTTATATATATATATATAACTTTAATCGATTAATATTATCGATCCGAATACTTTTGATTCTTTCGTTGATCTGTTGAAAATTCTCAACGTTCACTGATACTTAAAACATTTCTCCCACCATTCATTTACAATTTAACGTTACCACTACTACTATCACCACCACCACCACCAGTTTTTGCCATCACCAGTTTACCACCACCAATATAAAACTCAAAAAAAGAAAAAACCTTTCTTGGTTATTTTTTACTTGACAAAAAAAAAAAAGCAAAGAAATTTATACTTTTAACATATATTCTTTTTTACAAACAATCGATAGATCTCATATGTTAAACCACGTTTGTCGCGACACACAACGAATGCTTCTTTCGAACCTTGGATTCACGGATATCATATACACACGCACATACACGCAAAACAGATGATTAGAATCACGTGTATATACAGTCATATACTATACGATGAGTTTGGTGCTTCCCCAGTATTATTTCTCAACTCGAGAGATATAGAAAAAGAAACGTAACGGAAGATATTTCTTTTTTTCTTTCTTTTTTTTTCTTTTTTTTCGGTTTATATTCACTTCGATTCGTTCCTTTTATTTTTTTTTTTCAAATTAATTATGTCAATCTTCATTCATTCATTCATTCTATTTTGTTCCTTTTTTTCTTTTTCTTCTCAGATTTTTTGTTCTCCGTTTTGTTAATTATTAATTATTAAATTTTAATTTTTATAAAATTAGAAAGAAAAAAAAAAGAAATCGTGTCGTTGTTTTCAGCAAGATAATTAAACTCAACTCGTAAATATTCAATGATTGTTCATATATATATATATACAGATAAATACATGTATTTGCATGTAATAACATATACGAATGGTATGTTAAATATCGAGGTTCTTTACCGATTTATTAACCATTATGGTTTTCGGGACTTCCCAAGACCTTTCATGTTTCTATTCGTTTTCTCTTTCCTTTTCTTTTTTTTTTTCTCTCCCTCTATCTCTCTTTCTCTAATTCTCATTGCCAAGCTTGCATATTACACACACTCGTTTATCATTCCTATTCACGAGAATTTTTTATTTTTTTTTTTTTTTTTATTTTTTTACAACGAAATTTTTATCCTACACGACGTGCGAAATTATTTTCTAAAACGTTCTTGATAATAATTTGACACGAGTTTGTGCTGCGACGAATTTTTATGTTAAGAAAAAGAAAAACAACAACAAAAAATAATAAAACCTCTTTCTCGGTGGATTGTAAATAAAATGTAGTATCAAATTTTTCATCGTATAATAAATTTGTACTCTTTCTTTTTTGTTTTTTACATATCTGGTTGCAGGTATTTAATGACGTCGTTGTTGTTGTTGTTGTTGTTGAGATATTTGAGATTTTTATAATCAAGTTTGAATAATATTTTTGTTTTTCTTTTCTTTTATTTGCATCCAACAATTTCAATTATAAATGTTCGAATTTTTTAACCCGTTTTTAAATTAAATCCAACGTTGATTATCTTAATCAATTTTCGAGGAATTCCCATTTTTCATTGGAAATTATATACGAATCATCGTATAATGATTGAAATGAAAAGAAAAGAACAGGAAAGGAAAAAAAAAAATACATTTCGCACAACTTTCTTGAATTTTCTTCAATAGAAGCACAACATCATTAGTTTTATTTATACTCTCATATATAACTGCGATTTATATCAATTTTTTCATTGTAAATTTAACGATAAAACAATTTGAAATCTTTGCAATACTAAGTATAGTAAAAATGTTCATACCTGTTTTTCAACAAATGGATCACGTCATTCTAAATTTAATTGTGTCGTATCGATCAGATCTTCCAGTTTTGAAAATAATTTCGCGATAATTATGCTGAAAATATAGTGTTTCGTTTATTTTTCTTTTTTTTTTTATTTTTTTTTTTTTTTTGTTTTATTTTTTAAAAGATCCCCAGTATCGTTAACCTTTTCGAATATCGACTATGACAAATGTTGAATTTTTCATTTTT